GCGCCATGCAAGATTGCAGGTGCCCGACAGTACGGCAAAGGAGACGTTGGGCGCGATCGCCGGAGGTATAAGTAGCCGCTTCCGTTGCCTTGCTTCTTCAGCCCTTGGCCGCAACTACTGTACATTAATCTTCTCAGCTACAGAGAGCATCCAGCTCCCCGCGCCTTCGTGCGCTCGTGATTATCTTATTCCTCGCGAGCCCTCTTTATCAGGTTAGTTATTCTTTGCTATACCTTGTTAGGCGATCAAGCCGGCCCTTTCCTCGCAAGCAGCGTCCGTGATCCCTCTCGTACTCCGGCCCTGTGCTGCCCTGAGCAGGAATATTTATTAATTATGTATTCTCCCACCGCCTGCTGCTCCTCAGCCCCGGCCGCGCGTGCTTGCGCCTCTGCAGCTGCTCGTCTTGCGCCGATCATCCTCGGCCTTTCCCGCAGCCGGCTTCGTCAGCAGGCGCCCGCTACTCGGAACCCTAATCCTCGCCAGTCTTCCTTTTCCACACGCACTTCTGTCGCGCTTCCTTTTACGCAAGACCAACATCAAGAGCTTTCCGGCTCTCTCGAGTTCGGCAACAACAACCACAGCGAGTTTCCTGCCTCCTCTTTCGACAACATGCCCAGCAACGCAAGTCGCGCCAGTCTCGCGCCCTCCGGCGGCCCCGTGCTAACCAACAGCGTGCTGCTGCCCATGAGCCCCACCAAGCGGCCTCGCAGCGACTCCTTCCCTTCCAAGCCGCTCGACCACAGCGTCCTGCCCTCGCTGCCGCTGCCCGCGCCCGCCGTCGCGCCCGTCACCTCGCTGCAGTGCGTCACCTCCACGGTTGACCACCTGGCCAAGGCGCTCAAGAGCGTGGTCAAGATCTTCTGCACCAGCTCAAAGTGAGTCGAGATGTGTTGAATTATTGGTACCAATGTTTCGGCGAAATGGTTCAATTAGTTCAATTTGCTTGCTACCTGAGGCACTGTCTTATATGAAATGCATAGCATAGAATGCACGATAATAGGACTAGAATGTTCTGACATTGGCAAGTCCTATTAAATTACCGATCTGGGTCACGGCGAAAACGTTCGGCTTTTACTTGCTGAGCCAGCGGCTTTTACTTGCTAAGCCTGGAGCGACCCATGGGTCCTCCCTTACCTGCTGCATCCCCTGCGAGCGACATGACCCCAAGCACCTGCGAGCAACGTCTTCCCTCCTTACCCTCTCCCCCCCCTTCCCCCTCCCTCCCGCAGCCCCAACTACAGCCTTCCCTGGCAGATGATGTCTCAGACCAAGTCCACCGCCTCGGGCTTCGTGGTGGCTCCGCTCTCCTCGCGCCGCATCCTCACCAACGCGCACGCCGTGGCCAACCAGGTGCAGGTGATGCTGCGCAAGCACGGCAACGCGCGCAAGTTCCCGGCGCGGGTGCTGGCGGTGGGGCACGAGTGCGACATCGCCATGCTCACGGTGGACTGCGATGAGGTGAGGCCGGCAGGAGGAGGGGTGCGGTGGGGGGGTTTGGGCTTGCACGCATGTTCCAAACACAAGCCTTGGCGCAGCCTTTCCCTAACACCAGCCCATTTCTCCCTCCCTTCCCATCCTGCCCCAGTTCTGGGAGGGCGACGGCGGCGTGGAGGCTCTGGAAGTGGGCGGTCTCCCTTCCATGCAGGAGAGCGTCACCGTGGTCGGCTTCCCGCAGGGCGGCGACAACGTGTGCGTGACCAAGGGCGTGGTGTCGCGTCTCGACCGGCAGCAGTACTCGCACGGCCGCTGCGCGCTGCTGACCACGCAGACGGACGCGCCCATCAACAGCGGCAACAGCGGCGGCCCCGTGCTGCGGGGCGACAGCGTGGTGGGCATCGCCTTCCAGTCGCTGGTGGGCGCGGAGAACACCGGATACGTCATCCCCACGCCCGTCGTCAACCACTTCCTAACCGACCTGGAGCGACACGGCGGCAAGTACACCGGTGAGTGAGAAGAGGAGAGGAGGTTACAGACCCGTGGGTCGTTCGTTATTGCCGTATCCCAGCCGGCCTTGTCCGCGCCCACCTTCCTGGCTTCCCATCCCATCCCAACATCTTTCCCCTCCTTCCCCCCCCCTGCCCTCCCCCTCCCATCAGGCTTCCCCGAGTTAGGCATCAGCTGGCAGTCTCTCGAGTCTCCCGACATGAAGCGCTCGCTGGGCATGCCGGCCCACGCCACCGGGGTGTACGTCACCGCCACCGAGCCCGTGTACGACGCCGCCCGAGTGCTGCGGCCGGGCGACGTGCTGACCAGCGTGGACGGCCACTCCATTGCTGACGACGGCACCTTCCTCTTCCCCGACCAGTCCGTGCGCATCGACTTCCGCCACCTGCCCTCCATGGCGTACGACGGCGAGGTGATGCGGGTGGGCGTGTGGCGCGAGGGCGCGGCGCACGAGCTGCAGGTCCGCGTGTCGGTGCCGCACCACCTGGTGCCGCAACACAGCCACGACCTCAAGCCGCGGTGAGAGGGGGAGAGGGCGAGGGGGGAGGGGAAGGGAACATGGTTTGTTGGCGTGCGGTTCCGTGCTTCCGCATCCATGTGCTTCTGCATCCATCCCAGCGGCTGCTATGTCCCCGTCCATAAGCCCTGCACCTGAATAACCTTCCCTATGCCTCCCTCCCCCACCTCTCCCCCCCTCCCCCTCCAGCTACTACATCTTCGGCGGCCTTGTGTTCACCCGTCTGACCAACTTCTTCCTGCGCCACCAGTACGGCGCCGACTGGTCCACCAAGGCGCCCATCAAGCTGTGCGACCGCTACTTCAGCGGCTCCATGGAGGCCCCCGGGCAGGAGGTGGTGCTGATCAGCAAGGTGCTCAGCCACAACTGCAACCAGGGCTTCCAGGAGATCGCCAACATCCAGGTGCTGCGGGTCAACGGCGTCAAGCTGCACAACCTGCAGCACCTGGCGGCCCTGGTGGAGGGGTGCAAGGAGGAGTTCGTGCGCTTCGAGCTGGAGTGGAAGCGGGTGGTGGTGCTGCACACCGCCAGCGCCCGCGCCGCCACGGCCGACATCCTGCGCACCAACTGCATCCCCACCGCCGCCAGCGAGGGGCTGCTGGCCGAGCCGCTGCAGCTGCCGCCCGACCTGGCCGCCATCCGCCTGCCGGACATGGCGGACAGCGAGGTGGTGGGGGGCGAGGAGGCGGTGGCGGTGGACGAGAAGAAGGAGGAGGGCGGCAAGGCGATGGCGGCGGCGGCAGTAGCAGCGACTGCAAGGCTGTGAGAAACTATTGTGATGACATGAGGTTGGGTGTGTGCAGTTGTGTAATGGTGTTAGGTGGTTCTAGTCGGTGGCGGGGAGAGGTAGTGAGGGGAGGGGTGCAGGTCGTAGGGCAGGATGCTGCTGAAGATGTGTAGCGGGATGCGGCAACTGCAGGAGGCGAGCATGCGGGACTCTTCTGCAGGAGTTGTGTTTTGTGTGCGCGCATGAGGTGTGTGCGGCGGATGTGGATGTCGGATCTGGAGATGAGCTGTGGAGCTGTACGATGTGTAAGGTTGTACGATGTGCATGTTGGGTTCGTTAGCGCCGTGGCATTGTACAATATGAAGAGACACGATACCGGTTCCCATGCCACAGCATGGGTCCAGATATACAACATTGATATTGTGGCATTGGGATGAATGTAAAATCTTGTTGAAAGGAATAATGCGTGTAAAATACCTGCATTGTCCTCATCTGCGTACAACTTGTTGTAAAGCTATACATGGCTACCTGCCGTTACAGTACACATACTGTCATAGTTGCTAAGACAGGAAGGGAATCCCTCTTGCCGCACTGTTCAAGTGAAGCTACGCATTTATCCCATCTTTTGTCTGGTAAGAAAGGTCGAAGTGACCCATGGGTCAGCTCTTCAATTGAGTGAAGTCTCGAGCTAAGACGCTTAAGGACTCTTCCCAAATAAAGTACGGACTCTGGAGGCAAGACTCTTGAGTCGAGAATGTGGACGTCTGTTCCGGAAATAATGTGAAGTCGTACAACTCCTGGAGATCATTATTAGACAGCTAGTCAGGCGCACACAATCAGATAGCTAGTCAGGCGCACTCCTAAAAGCTGCTACCAAACATCTACTAATCGCTTTCTCATTCGATTCTGTTCTGTATTTTTTTGATACTTTCTACGCATATTTTTGGCCCTAGCACAAAGCCTAATCCTACATGTTTGGACTTTCCTCGTAGCCTTTAGTTGCAGTGGTTGCTTGTATCTTTACTTACTCGGCTTACACCATGCAAAACCTTGAGGCACCAAGTCCCAAGCAGGCTTCGGTGACCGCGCCAGTCCCATGCGGTGTCATTTCGGGAACCCCCGTTGTGGCAAAAGGTGCTGATACTCCTACCAACACTGCTGCTACCCCGTCAGCGACGGGAACCCAGCTGTCTAGGGGTGCAGGACAGCCGCACGGCGGGCTGAACCAAGCGGCAACGCACTACGCGGACGAGCTGCTTAGTCCAGACTCTGTGCATGCCTACCCCAGGAGCTCACCTCATGTCTGCTTCACGCCGCTCGGAGCAGGGGCAGGCACCGGCAAACGTGGCAGGCTATTTGGCGGCAGCGGTGACTGTGGCCCAAGTGCGCGGCTGGACAATGAAGAGGAAGGTGTGGACAGGGTGCATGAAACGGATAGCGTCTCCCACCACCACCCTGGCAAGACACATGCCGCGTACACCACGCCGGACTCCAAGCAGCTGGACAAGCGCATAACGGAGCCCGACCCGCTTCAGCGCTTGATGGACGAGTTTGTCAGTGTGGAACCACGCCTTCCAGAGTCCCAGGAAGGCTCAAACTAGCGGATAGGAGTTGACCTGCTCTGCCTGGTACCTCCGTAAGCAGTAGTAGGGAGTGAGGCTGGAAGGGAATACCGGTGTAACATCTCGGTGTAGCATATCAGCAGGACGAGGAGACCACGCATGCATTGCCAAGGGCTATCAGCATGTTCGGCAAACTCGATTTATCTATGGCAAACGATGTTAGGACAGGTGACAGTCATCCAAAGCGCTTACATGGGTATAATGCGGCCGTCTGTAACAGGGTGGCCTATATCTATTACATCGCCTGTTGAAGGTACGTTCGATGCGCATGCATCTCAGCGCGCAGGCTAACATGCCAAACCCATTATAGGTCCGATCCGACTAGTAATGTACGGAAGCCTTCGCTATCATGAACTACAGCGCAAACCACGTACGACAGCTCCATCACTAGTAAATGCTTAGCCTGCCCTACCTGTACAACCTGCCTAGATTACGTCGCATGTCTAGCCTGCCTATGTACGCCCTATCTGAAAGTTCAAGGTCACGTAAGAATGCACAGTGCATGGGGTCACATTGGTTAGCTCAGAACGCACAGTCCCCGCCCACCGCATGCCATGGAGGCAAGCTGTACAAACCACGTGGGTAACAGGTTCGATCGCGCACGAACATGGTTTATAGTCACCTTAATACATACTACGTTTAGAGACATCTCCACACTACGTAACCAAGGGCTCACATGTCGTGACCAACACTGCAGCAGCGAGAAGCATTCGTACACGCCAGCATGTGAGCAGCAAATCAAAATTGAACCAGCCCACCAGCCTGCATGCCCAATTACTGCCGCAGCCGTCATCCCGCCACGGTAATCCACCGTTGGACACCACCCCTAACCTGCTAGGCCCCAACCCTTACTCCCCATGTACCCGACCAGCTATTTAAATCCCCAGCAGGCCCAGGAACTCCTCGATGCTGATTGTCCCCGTCTTGTTCTTATCGAGGCGGCGTTTGAGGCTGATAGCCTGGTGCCGTGTGAACTTCAGCCCGGCTGCCAGCAAGCCCGCCTCCAGGTCCTCGCCGCCCAACGCGCCTGCGCCCGCCTTGTCCGCTGCAATGAGCGCCGCGCGCACGGCGTCCTCCTTGCCCGTGACCTGCGCCTTGACTGACCGGATCATCACGTCCGTGTCCGCCATGACGAAGATGTCCCGGTAGTTCTCCATGTACGTGAGCGTGTACTCGTCCGCCTCCAGCAGCTCGAAGCTGCGGTTGAACACCTCAATGACGCTGCCCACGTACAAGTCAAGGTACGTGTAGATCTCCTCGCTGCGCGGCTTGTAGATCCGCTGGCGCTCCAGGAACTTGCCGCCGGCAATGCCCGTGTTGCGCACCGGCGGCTCGAAGATGAGCAGCGAGTCGTCCATCATGAAGTACGACAGGATAAAGCGGCGAGCCAGGTCAGTGTTGGAGTGCTTGTGGCTCTCCGTGTCCACCATGCGCACTACAAACCGCAGGATGATCTTGTCCTTGTTCATGAGCTTGTGCAGGTCGCGCTTGGGCGGCTTGGGTACGAGGCTGAGGCAGTTCTGAAGGCTGTCCTCCAGCGTTCCGTACCCATTGTACGGCGGCAGGGCGGCGCGGGGCTTGGGCAGGATGGGCTCCTTGATGTCAACGGGCGTCAGCTCCTCGTCGCCGTAGCCCATGTTGTCCTTGTACCACACCTTTGTGAAGGTGTCGGCATCGTGCAGGAAGAAGTCACGGCCCAGCACCGTGATGAAGGTGCCCAGCCGGAAGTCGCCTGGGCCATAGCACTGGTCCTTGCGGTAGCGGGGGTTCAGGGTGGTGTTGGTCTTCACCGGCACCTTTGGCAGAGGGCCGCGCTTCAGGAAGACTGGGAAGGGATCGCGGCCGCTGTTGCTCTCGTTGATCTCCAGGATCTCCACTGTGTCATCCTCCAGGAAGTAGTGCAGCACGTACGGCCGGCGGTCACCGTACATGGAGTTGCGCTCGTCCCAAACGCACCAGTAGCGCAGCACCTTTTTGTTGTTCTCCAGGAACTGACGCAACCGGTCGCCGTCCAGCAGGTGGCTGGGCTTTCCGAGGCGCGCCTCAACGTACGCCTTGAAGTCGTTCATGCGGCGCGTCAGGGTGCCAGCGCTAGCTGCACGTTACGGGGTTAGGGGGGGAAGGGCATGAGGTAAGAGACCCGTCTTTGTAGTTATCATCCCGTGCCTAGGAGACACTTGGGGCGAGCTACGAGCTGCCAGGACTCAACGCTTCAAAACGAACGGCCCATGCATGCCCCTAGTACCCAGCATACATACGTGATGGCGTGGCTTTAGGGTAATATGACTCCTCCCGAAGGGGCTTCAGAGTCGGCGCATACCCCTAGCCCAATCACATGCAATCATGTTGTGTTTGACAACCCGACTACAAACGACATGCTTCACGGCACATTTCCCATATGGGTTTATGCACACAGCCCATGTGAGTTATGTGAGATATCATATATGCGGATGGCGTCGCCCTAACCAAGGTGCAACTTCACGGGCCCTAGATTAGGAAGCGGCCATCTCCATGCGAGTTCCCCCTTTCCGACCCACATGAATACTTAGGGGTTGCCCAATCTCTATTGATGTTTACCAGCACACCCAAACCCCTGGAGGCTTAGAGAAGGAACGCACCCATCATCCCATGGGGTAACGGGCTAACGGCATCATATCCAGGGCAATGACTGACCCTCACCACCTCTACTCACCATCATCAGCACGACCGCGGTTCATGCCGAAGGCGGTGCGGTATCCATCCACGGGGTCGTCAGGGTAGGGAATCGCAGGGGGCTGCTCCTTGCCGGCCTTATCTGCCATGAACTCGCGCGTGAAGGTGTCCGCGTCGACGATGAAGAACGTGCGCCCGTAGATGGTCACCGTAGCGCCGACGCCAAAGTCAGCCGGGCTGAAGAAGCCGCCATCCTCGCGGGTCACACGGTGGCGCTTGATGAAGACACCCTGCACAATCGTACACCCATATGAGTAAGTCTGGTCTGTTGACATGGATTAAGTCGAGCTTTACCCAAACCAACGGGGCTGCAGGCAATTATGGGTGTTTGGCTGGCACAAAGGCTAGCCGAGCGCAACACTAAGCTAAGGGGTGACCCGGATACTAACAGGACAGGTTCCCGACATCGTATGCAAAGCACAAGCCGTTCAAAAAGCCGTTCCCATGCAGTACCTGCGGGATGCCGCTGTTGTCCTGCCGCGGCTCCGCAACGTGCATGCTGTCGTCCTCAAGGTAATAGTAAAGGATGACCTTGCGGATGCGGTGATTCTCCATGTTGCTCTCCACCACCGACTCCTTGAAGTACCCATAGAAGCGGAGAACCTGCTCAAGAGCAACGTAGTTAGCAACATCGGAGAACCTGGCCCCTCCCAAACGGCCCTTGATCAGGTACCCACCTTGCGATCGTTCTCTACCCATTGAGGAAGCTTGCTTGCTGCATCAGGGGCAAGCATGCTGGCCGATAGCGTGGCCCCTGGAGATGCGAGAGCTCCATCCGTCGCTTGAGCAATGTGCTCAGGCAGGTCCTTCACGACGGAAATAGTCTCCTCTCGCTGGTAACCGTTGATGTAAGAAAGCGTCTGGCCCTTCTTAAAACCTTTGTCGCTCAAGGATTGCTGCGAAAGATAAAGCGAGGCACCTTCAGCGAGCTTTGCCAAACGGATACTCTAGCGATGCGTTCGTTTATACGCACCGGCAAGCACACGTTGTAGCCAGGAAGCTTGGGGATAGGGGGCGCGGACATCTTCGCAACACTATTGCAGCTGAAAAGACGGTGCTACGTGAGAGTCCCTACAGGTGATAGGTAGCACAACGCACACAGTATTTTACACAATAAAGCTGGTTAGTTACTGATCTAACCGGCGGAAAAGGTATATGTTAAGTCCGACGGTTCGAAGCAAATGGGGCTCCAGGGGAGGTCTAGTTACTCGTTGATTTTACCCGTTCCTGGCATTCTCTGCCGTCTATACTCCTTCCATATGCCGAGCAAATTCACATCGCTGCTGGGTCACCGCTAGACCTTTAGGAGCGAACAGCACTTCGTTGTGTTTGCTTTGCAGCGAAGTACAAACAACGACAGCATGCCCAACACAAGTACTAGGGATGAAAGTCGCTGGCACATCTGTAGGCGGAGTTCAAGGTTACGGCTAACATAACGACTGCTATGCCGCATGTGACATGCCCGTAGACAGATCTACCGCCCTACCAAATGCTGGGAAGACACGATAGAAACAGTTGAATGCGCGAGGCGCCAGTGGGAGTTAAGGGATATTCCTCTCGTATTACCCGAGCTGCGGAAAGGAGTGAGTTACAACGTAGTTGTCTTCCTCTGCATTGGTGTGGAACCCACTCCACATGGCTTCTAGGCCCCGCATGCATCGAAGATTGGAACCCCAGCAGTTGCCCCTGGTATGCGCATTATCCGGAGACTTTGCATATGCCAGGTTTCCCGACGGAGACCTATATGCGTCATTGGACGTAGCTGGCTGCTCTGGCATACCTCAGCACATCAGGGGGGGGTGATGCTCAACACAAGGGACCAAATAAACAAACCGCCTTACAATTCCAGGAGCACTTGGTAATGTTGCCCTCACAATGTTGCAAGCATGTCGTTTGTTGCAGTATTCCAGTAACGCGCACGTGGCTAATGCAGTTATTCCCGTTCGTCCCTTCCTGGGGCCTTCCCACTCGTGCACCCTGCCTGCACATGCACATTGCATAACACAACTCATCGGCAAGACATCGCCTTAGAAGTGCTAATGGCTGTACCATGAGCATGGTACCTGAGTACCAGGGGCCCCTCAGGCCCCAAGTAACGTCGCACCATCCTGAGCCGCCCCAGAGTGCGAATGCACTTTGCAAAGTCATGGGGTGGCAGCACGTGCACGGTACAAGGTCCCAGCTGTCATGGGAGAAACCGCTTCCCCTGTAACACTCAGCAGGGCTTCAAGCACTTATACATGGAATGAAAGGGTTATTACACAGAACCGTGCAGTACGCTTTGTTGCCACGAACCCATCACACCGCAAGGCAAACGTTACCCACACACGGCCCCGCATGCCAAACCACGTCAGCCAACTGCGACACCGACCATCAGGCACGCTGCGGGCCCCTTCAGCCGGAAACGTAACCCTGCAGCAAGCGGCGTGTCCACATCGTGCAACTGTACCATGCCTCTGGGTCCTCCAGCTGTGAGGCAGGCAGGCACACCCTATGCCGACTTTTCACTGGGCGAGGACTCCTTGGGAAGGCTGTGCGAGGGCGGCAGGCGGCTGAACTCCTGCACCGCCTTGAGCGCCTTGCTGTACGCAACCTGGGTGGGGTGGTGCCGGGGAGGGAGAGCGGATGGATACAAGAGGGGAGGGAGAGGCCGGAGAGCGGATGTTAACCATGCAGACGTGGCTCAGGGCGCGAGCGCATGGCACAAGCAAAGCGCATCGAGCATGAGCAGCTCCGAAGGCCGCCGCCCACAACGAGAACGTGAAACCCTCACAGGCCCAGGGAACCCACCCCACCCCACCCCGCACAGCTCACCACTCGGTTGTTGGCCGCTGCCACGATGCGGTCGGCCACCAGGACCTCGGGGGCAGCGGGGTCTGCGCAACAGGCGCGGAGGGGGTTGAGAGGAGGTTTGGGGGGAACGTTGGAGAACATACCGGTATTAACGAGGGCATGTTTGCTTAAGAGGGCTGGTTGATGTGATCCGCGCGTTGGAAAAGGTTTGGGTCATCATGGGCTGCGTGGACTTCGTTGCGAGGGTTCCCGGTAGCGCCAGGAACCTAACTACCGGCGGCACGTGAATAACACACCTGGGACGGCTGGGACACCAGACAATTGGAAAGGACCATTGAAAGACATTTCCGTTTTGATACCTACCCGCTGTGACACCTGCTGTGTTACGTAAAACGGAGGAAAGAGGCCACTACCTCCCAGCAACACATGCACCAGGCCAAATCCATAAACACGCGCAAATCCGGACAGGCATGAAGTGCTGTTAAGAAGTGGTGTTGCAGCTAAACCCTGCGCACATCTCATGATTGACCTTAACCGGGTTGTAAGCAGACAACTCCACACAGCGCGGCTCATTCCGATACAAGCATAGGCACACGAGGGCACAACAAATGCGAGGCCGCACGAGCTGAATGAATGTACCACATCACACTGCAGTCGGAAAAATTCCACACACCTGCCTTCCGGGTAAGCAAGACTTGTGCGGATGTACACTCCAAATTCCCAGGCAACCAACCCAGCAATTCGAAAACGCAAACGTTACCGGCACACCCCTGCCGGCGTAACCCGCTTCAACACATGCGTCATTTCTGTTGCATGTGCACCAAAGTGATAACGCATTATCACAAGTTGCGTCCGAGCTGCACAAAGTCAGAATGCTGCACCCCCTGCACACACGATACACCCACGCACCCACCGCTCCTCCCACTCGCCTCCTCACTCCCGCCCCACTACTGGCCGGCCTGGTCAACTGCCCGCTCTAGCACCTCCCCTAGCGACCCGCCCACAGACCCGCCCACAACCACCCGAATGCTGGCCTTCCAACTGTGCCCCCGCAGCCCCCCCTCCCGCAAGAACTCCACCGGGGTCACCAGGCGGACCGGCACCACCTCCGTCCACGACCCCTCCCGCTTAACCGCCTGCAGCTCAATGCATGCCGGCACGGCCGCCCTGGCTTGCGTCCGGACAGCCGCGCGGTAGGCCTGCATGTTGAACTGCCCCCTGGCGCCATGCTGTGCGCCCCGCCCCACTCCGCACACAACGGGAAGCAGCACGGAAGGACTGGGGGCCGCTGGAACACTGGACACGGCGGCAGGTGCGCGTGCAGTGGGGGCAGCGGCAGGGGCAGCGTCCTCAGGCACCGCAGCAGCAGCAGCAGCAGCTGGTGCTGAGCGGTGGGTTCGCAACTGAGTGTCTGAGGACACGGCTCCGGCCCCGGACTGAGGCCGCGCACCCCGTGGCGCGCTACTACGTGCAACCGCATGCCCGGTTTGCATGCCCGTTTGTGCAGCTGCACCGGCTGTGGAAGCCTGCAAGCCGGGGCGCCCTGTCGTGGCAGCAACGCGAACCGCTTCTCGCCGCCTGCTGATAATGGTGCGCAGCGGGAACAACGTGCGGTTCCGATCGCGCTCTCGCACGCGCCTCTCAGCTCCCCCTTCTTGCCATGCCCGAGATCCGACCCCTTCAACCTCCCGCCCACCGGCCGCATGCACCTCCGAAACCCCGCTTTCCCTCCCTGCCGGCACCGCATGCGACACAGCTGGCGTCACGCGCTCATCACGCTGCACCGCCACCTCCGCAGGAACCACCGCATTCGCAGCCGCACTTGGATACCCCTCAGCCGGACCCCGGAACTCCTGCCACCAAGCCGGCTGCGCGCCGGGCGGGCCCTGCCCAACCGGGTACCCAAAGGGCGGCTGCCAGGGCGGCCCCGCAGCTACAAAGACCTGCTGCGTGGACCCGGGCTGCGGCCCTGTCGGCTGCCGCAGCATGAGCGCAGAGAGCTGCTGCAGAGCGGTGGCGAGCATGTCCCGCATCCCCGCTAGCTCCTGACGCAGACTGGCCACTTCCTTGGTCAGCGCCGCCACCGTAGCCGCCGCCGCCGCTTCGTCGCCGCCGCCAGCCGCCGCCCCGGTTGCGGGCCTCCCGTCTGCGGTGGCGGTGCACCGGTAACGGTCGAGGCAGCACCAGCAGCGCGAGGCAGTGCGACAGCGACAGCGGCAGCAGCGAATGGGCGTGGAGCGCTGACCAAGGAAGTGGCCAGCCGCCGGGCTAGAATGTGGCCTATAACTGGTAGCTGCATCTTTTGGCAACGGAGACCGCCAAATCCATTTGGATAGACAAGGAGTGTGCAACCTTGGTTTCGCATGCTCGTGGGAGGATTTCGCCCCCAGGCTGCCCCAGGCCTTAATTCAAAGAATTGTGTGTTGTGCGAGAGCTCGGCCGCTCGCACGGCGCGGTCTCTCAAGCAGGCTAAAGGCTGGCTAAACACCTCTCATGCGCCCAATTCGCCCAACGCTCCCCGCACCCCACCCCGCCCCGCCCATCCCCCATCCACCCACCGTCAGTCCGCTTCCTCAGCTGCTGGTGCATGTCCACCTGCTGCTGCAGGTCCTCCAGGGAGCTCCGAACCTGCACGCAAACATAAGAACACGGCACGTTTCCTTGACGTACGCACACCATAGGCACTGGGGCCGCCAGGGTCGCCAAAGATCGCCATGCTGGCATGCATGTCCTCAACCTCTGGAAGGCAACCGACGTCAAGCCCTGGGGCACCCAAGACCCACCTCCGCATGCTCGCAACGGAACTTGTGCAACACATGCTCATATCCCCAACGTGGAGGGCAGTAGTGGCCCTAACCAGCAGCACCCTGCCGCGCCCTGTGCCACACACAGCAATCCCGGTGCCGTCCCCATGCCGCCCTCGCCCTCACTCGCCCCCAGCCCGGCTCACCACATCCTGCAGCCTGTCCTCCTCCGCCATCAGCGCAGGGTGTAGGGAGGGTAGGCAGGTGGCGGCGGCAAAGCTAGGCGGCACGCCGCCAAGCTGCCCTACACGCGGCGGCTGCGGCGGTGGCGTGCTGGCCTGCAGCCCGGCTGGCCCCCTACCGCCCTCGTCCTCCGCCTGCCGCAGCTGCTGCTGCTGCTGTCCCACAAGTGGCTGCTGTGGCGGGTGCTGCTGGGTTGAGGATGATGTTGTCCCTGCCGCTGGCATGACACCGTTGCTTGTCGTTGGTTGCTCTGCTGGCGGCAGCGGTGCCGCCTGCACTCCGCTGCCGTTGCTTGCGGCCATGGAGGCTGCATCCGTGGCAGGCTGCGAGGTGCTCGGAGCACTTTGCTGGTCCCCTGGTGCACCTGCCGCTGTTGCTGTCGGGAGCTGCGGTGAGAGTGGACTGGTGGCTGCTGCTGCTGTTGTGGGCTGCTGTCGACCCTGTTCATGCTGCTGCCCCAGCTGCTGCGGTCCCAGCTGGCCTGGAAGAGTACCTTGGAGCGGGGAGCTGCTGCCGCTGCTGCTGGCGGCGCTTGGAACCGACTCAACTTCCTCCAAGTCTATTTTCTTAAAGGATTCGTCCCAAGCATCTGCGACTTTGACGCGCTTCAGCACTTTCGCGTTGGTGGGTTGGAGTGGGAGCGTGACGCGGTAGTTGTTGCCTGGCTTCCAGTAGGAGATGTTCCCATCCGCGTTTACGATGACGTACTTGTATTCGAGGTCTAGCGTTGGTGTCCTGCGGGCACGTTTGGTCTTCAGCGCCCATGGGTCAACATACAACTGGCGCTGCCAACAATATGCACGTTAAGGGCGATGGTGCATATCTAGAAGCTGTTGGCGAACAATTGCTCACCCTGGGGCCACGCTAACCTCGGCAATCCACCAGTCGCCATCCGTCCATTTCATTGGGATTCTTCGCTTCGGGTCCCAGTTTCCCAGCGTGTCACCAGATCCCACTAACCCCACCGACTGCCCAAAGTTTACTCGGTAGGGTAGTTTGAAATTGAGTCGTAACGGCCCAGCGCCTGCAACATCACAACAAGAGGCGCGCTTGGCATAAGGACGCATTATACCAGGGGCGGAAAGGGAACTGTTTGAAATGTTCTTACTTGTTTCATCTGAGTTATCCTTAAAGCATCGAACGGCTGCTAACCGGGAGCAAAACCTCGCCCTCTGCAGCATAGGATAAGCCTTGTTAGTCTTCATATAGACCGAAGGCATCCGAAGTCTGAGAGTCAGCAGCAGGGTATAACCAGGGAAAAGGATCCACGAAAGCGACCTACCCTGCACTGAGGCGTGGTTGGGACAGCGCCGCAGGATGGATGCGCCTTTAAGCTGTATTGCACCATTCTATATGGTAGACCGTATTTACCAAGGTGCCTGGCTCATTCACCGCCCCAGGCTGGCGGGGCAATGCTTACAGCAAAACTATTTGGGGCTTAGTCGAGGAAGCCACACAGAAACCGTGCTGTTCAATGCGACAGCGAGGGAACTTGGAAGTATGGAGCAAATGATGGTTAGGAAATTGTGCATGGCAGTTACAGAAGCTCCAGAACATGTCGTACCACCGACCTACGGGCGACCCACGTGGATGAGTAGCATGGTTGTACAGCTTGTACTCTTTGGTAGGGTTACCCTGGGACAACCTCGCATCTTAACATTGATGCAGGGTGCGAGGCTTTTCCATTGCGAAGATATGAGGCAAGGGTTTTATTAACATTTTACCCGCACCACTCTCCGTGCACGCTGCACGGGCAATAGTTGACTGCCCGCCAGCTATTGCGTTCCCATTTCCCCTTCACGTTTCCCCGCAATCTATCCGTGCAGTTTTCCTTGTCCACACTTGCGAGGAGGCGCAGGGATGTCACGGTCGCCGTAAACCCCTTTGCCTTTATGCAAACAAAATGATTCCTTAGGATGCTAGGAACTGCATGATGGCTGTGGCTAATTGATTGCATGTATGGGGTAAGCTGACTTGCTGATAAGTTGGACGAAGTGACTTTCTGGACGAGCGTGCGACATCAGCAGTTAGGACCTACGCTTCAAGAGATGTTGCTAACCCGGGTGCTTTCCAGTGTATGTTTAGCCCCTACGCTTATTGCTAGAAAGACACACTGAAAGGATTTCTCTACAACGGCATACAACCTTGCCGATCGACAAGCGCTTACGCACTGCTTACGCGTAGGCCACGCACAGCGGAAACGGCTGTATCCTCAAACAAAGTCAATAGTGATTACAAGTGCAATAAGGGCTGTCTGTTAACAGTCGAATGCCTGTAAGTTGAGGAACGGGCCGGGGCATTCGTGTACCTTTAAATCACCACTGAACAGCTGCCACTTGTCTGCATACAAACATTATAGGTCCGGACGCTACTGGAGGTCCAACCGCCGGGTGCGATACAGTTTGAAGGCGTTTGCTTTGCAATGCAACTCCCCCATGGCCTGTTTTCCTCTCCTGACCCCGCCATCGAACTACGGTCTTGCAGGAGCGTTGCGTTACATTCTCGGCACCATTGTTATGCTAGTTGGAGTGGTAAGGTCAAAGCGCGCTGTCGGGGTCGGTTACCCTCCAGGGTCGGGAACCTTCCCTCCTTGGCTGAGAAGTTTGATGGAGCTCCCCGCTGCTGGAATGCCCCCCAGCAGCACGCGGGGACGCCTTCACACCGCCTCCTCCCTACCATCCATGTCTGACTCCCACTCCCACCCGCGGGCCTGCAGGTGCTTCCCCTCGCGTACGCCTTCCTCAAGCGCAAGAACCCCCTCACCGCCAACTTCCGGCCGCTGCGCTCCTCGGCGTGACGCGCCCAGCAGCCCTCTCCAACCAAGCAGAGCGCTCCTAACAGCTAGAAGCGCCCTTCCTAACAACTGATCGTCTTCCTTGCAACCCGGCAGCCTACCGTACCTGCTGCCGAACTCTTATTGCTATTCGACGCTTTAGTGCCCTATTTTCCTCTCCTCGCCTGAAGTAACAAGCGGCGTGCGAAAGGAACATGCAAGCCATCCTGCTCTGCCGCGCCCTGCAGCAAGCAGCCACCGCTGCTGCTGCGGCTGCCGCCAGCTCAACCACTCCCAGCCGCCTGCTGCCCGCCCTCGCCCTCTCGGCTCTCCGCACTCCCTCCTCCTCCCCCACCCCCTCCTCCTTCCCCTCCTCCTCCGCCCTCGGCCTCCTCCTCCCCACTCGCTCCTTCTCCGGCGCCGCCTCCCACGCCGCCGCAGCCCTCAGCCGCGACGACTCCTCCATCGCCGACCCCTGCTCCGCCCGCATCACCCCCGGGGGCCGCACCATCAGCAGCGCCTCCGCCGGCACCGGCACCGGCAGCCCCCCCACCGAGGGTGCCGGCAGCCAGCTGCATGTCACCGTGGAGCCGCTGTCGGGGGCGCTGGAGGGCGTGTCGGTGATCAGCCTCACCCGCCCCGGCGCGCGCAACGCGATTGGTCGGCAGCTGCTGCGGGAGCTGTGGGAGGCGGTGGAGCTGGTGCGGCAGGAGCGAACCACCCGCTGCGTGATTGTGCGTTCGGTGGTGCCAGGTGGGGGCGGGGGAGATGGGAGGAGTTTGGGAGGGGAGTTGGGGCTGGAAAGGCGTGTTTTTGGGTTTTTTGCTTGTTCGGTGTGGGGAAACGCATCTGTATTGGGCTGTTTTGCTTTTGTCCTCAGATTCCATAACCGCCGTACAACACTTTGATAGCAGCCCGCCAACCTCGCCCTGCACCCCACCACCCACCCACCGACACCTCACATCACCACCCAGGTGTGTTTTGCTCGGGTGCCGACCTGAAGGAGCGCGCCACCATGAGTCAGAGCGAGGCGGCGGAGTTCGTGTCTCGCATCCGCCGCACCTTCACCGAGCTGCAGGTGCGCAGGGGGGAGCGGGGACGAAAGAGGAATCTTGAGCGGGGGGCTGGGGGAAGGGGGGGAAAGAAGACCGCCCTATGTGCTGAATGTGTTGGCGGCAAGCAAGATGGGTGGGGGAGGGGCTGTGTGCCGACGGGGAAGGGGGCCCACTGGATCCCATTTCCATTTCCTTCCCCGTCCCTTCCTCTATCCATTGCAAACACTTCTGTACATGCTACTCCCTCCCCCTCCCACACTTTGGAAATTCTTTTTTCCTCCCCCCCCTGTCAGGACCTGCCCATGCCCACTGTAGCGGTGGTGGAGGGGCTGGCGCTGGGTGGCGGCGCGGAGCTGGCGCTGGCGTGTGACCTGCGGGTGGTGGGCGCGGGGGCGTCGCTGGCCTTCCCGGAGACACAGCTGGGCATCATTCCGGGGGCGGGGGGCACGCAGGTGAGGGGGGGAGGGGGAAGGTGGAAGGCGCGTGTTCGGGAGAGTGACGATGCTTGATGCTGGGTTTGGGCTGCGTGAAAGGAGAAGGGTGAGCGGGCGGGTGGGGGGTGGGCATTGCAGTTGGATATGGTATAGGTTGCGGGTAGGGCCCTCGGCTGCTTTCTTCCCTTTCCTTATCCCCCTGCCCTGCCCTGCCCTCCCACGGCCCCCCCCCCTCCCAGCGCCTGCCCCGCATTGTGGGCGCCAGTCGCGCCAAGGAGCTCATCTTCACGGGTCGGCGGGTGGGCGGCAGCGAGGCGGCGCAGCTGCAGCTGGCGGACTATGTGGTGCCGGACGAGCAGGTGGGGGGGGGAGGTGGGGAGGGGGGGGGGGGGGGGGATGAGGGATCTGCACAGGGCTGGAATGTAGGGTGGGGGCGGGTATGTCCGACCATTTGGCATGGGAGAGGAGCCCGTGGCGCGGTGTCGTCGTAAGAGGCCCATTCCCTCCCATGCGCCACTCGTCCCCCCTCCCCGTGGCCCCCCCCCCCCCCTCCCCAGGTGTACGAAAAGGCTCTGCAGCTGGCGGAGCAGATCGTGCGCAGCGCCCCGCTTGCACTGAGGCAGGCCAAGGTGGGGCTAGGCGCTGGCTAGCCGGCCTTGCTAGCGCGAGGGGTGACGTGTACATGGAGGGGGGAGGGGTGTTCGAAGGTGCCACCCACCCATCTTTGGTTAGGGGTGCTGTACCGGTGTTATGGTTATACACGGGGTACGATCTTACCTACATGCTGTGTAGGGAGTTTCCGATGGGTATAGAGCTACGTAGTGTGTGTGTGTAGGGCTCAGGCGCATCCTCCCCCCTCTCCCCCTCCCTCCACCCCCCCCCAGTCCGCTGTGAACCGGGGTCTAGAGGTGGACCTGCACACGGGTCTGGCGATGGAGGAGGCGCTGTACGCGCAACTGCTGCCCACCCGCGACAGGCTGGAGGGGCTCAAGGCGTTCGCGGAGAAGCGCAAGCCACGATACACGGGAGAATGAGGGAGGAAGGGAGAGAGATGTAGGGGAGGGGAAGGGGCTTTTGATTGGTGGCGGGCTTGATCGAGGCGCTGGGGAATGATGGGGGTGGAGATGAATAGGAGGCGGATATTCTATTAGTTTGGAGGGTTGGTTGGCGCTAGGAGGTGTGGTGTGGCGTGGGTATGGTGGTGGGACTTCAACGGCTTTGTTGTTTAGTTGTTCTGTTAGCGGCGGGTTAGCTTTGTTAGTTATTGTTGTCCTTATTGTTGATGAAAGCGACGCTGCATGCAGCGAGCGCGGCTGGGGGTTCAATGACGATGCTGTTATCCGGCACAGTGTTTAGCTGCTGCCGGTCGGGTTGCTGACGTGTACCGATACAAAGCAGCGAGCAGCGGGCACATGAGAGACGGGAAAGCTTAATTACAGACAACAAAACTTAGCTACCGTGCAAGTTACGGCGCAGCAGCATTCTCGCACTATCATTAAGAGCTAAGAGGATGAGGGGCGAGGATGGTGGCTTGGTGGGGGAAGGTGAGCGGACACACCCGCCGCCCGCTTTCCTTCCCTCTCCAGCTTCACACCGTCCCACGCAGCCGCATGCGTCCCGCGTCTCGTTTTCAGCGGCTCAAGTGCAACTAGAGGATATGTCGGGTCACAGCAAATGTAGTGCATGTCGCAATGGTTAAATACACCTGTAATCACGCCAAAAGTCGTCGAACCTAAAACCTGTAGGGAATCGCCCAAGGGCAGGAAACCGCAAGCCCTGCCTTATTAAGAAAGCATCACACCAAGCCGTGTCCTAATGACGTCACGTGCTTCACCAAGACTAGCACAACCGTCACAACGTTCCGCAGTCGGGGCCGATCCGTTGCCCCCTAAACCCTGCCTCCCTCTTACAGGGGGTACGCGTCATGTCCCCTATGAGTGATGATAGCAACCTTGAGCACCGCAAGTACATGCCTGAGTACACGCAGACCTGCATGCGGGCACTCTCAATGGCTAGGTACGGGGCGGATCAACGTTCTCATCCATCAGCCCCCGGAATGTTGAGGGCCTTGCATGTTAAGGAAAGTCAGGAAGCCAGCCTCCGGAAATCCGGCAGTACAATACCCTACTATTGAGCCACCACCTGCAATCACCCCCACACGCCCCGCGCCTTATCCGGGAGGGTACAAAGCACCCACGTACACCACAACAAGAGTCACGCAAAAGCCCCCACTGCAAATGTTTCAAATACCACATGCCAGGCCAAGAATAGGTTCGCCACAACAGGGGCCCTCATGGCATCCCCGGAAACGGCGCTACACTCCTGTCCTTCCAGTTCAGTAATGCACCGTAATGCCGTAAACGTCCTGCACCGTCCTGCATTGCAAAGCACCACCACCACACCGCCGCCACTAGCTCTGTTCGAGTCACCAACTGCAGCCCGCACGCCTGCATGTCACCCAGCGAGTGTTTACACCGGTGCGATTATACCGCCGGTACAGCACCACCATGAGTACAACCCCACACAGACAAGGGCCCCTTTCATCCCAGCTGCCACGCCCAGTTTACCGTCAAAAAAACGTAACGCGTACCACGACGCCACCCATCCGCCACCCCAACACCCACTTGGTCATTCTACCCCCAACAGTAGTATCAAAGCACCCCTACCAACGCGTCCGACTAGCAGTGTGCCCGCCATGCACCTCACCCGACCTCAACCAGCCACACCAGCTGCTACCGTCCTACAGTCCTACCGCCACCTCCACACCCGTCGCACGCATCACGACTACTTCACGTGTTCATCCTGCTCAGCGCTGCGTTCACCTCAATCGCCAAGTCCTGCTCGATCGCACCAATCAGCATGCTGCTCTTGCGGCTCAGCGCACTGCCCGGCCGACTCGCCGCCAGGCTGCCCCCCGCAGGCGTCCCAGTCGTCGTCCGGATCCCCAACTGCCCCGCACTCGCTGCTGCTGCGGCTGCCGCCACCACCGCCGCTGCCGCTGTTCCTGCCATCCCCGGCGACCCCGTACCCTCCTTCGCCGCCCCGGCTGCAATGGTCGCCTTCTTCTTGCCCTTCCCGCCCACCCCAGTCATGGCCTTTCCAGACGCGGACAGCACACCCGGTGTCGGCGGCGGCCCCTCCCGCGTACCCTCCAACGCATCCCGTACCTGCCCGCGCCGCAACCCAGATGGCGACATCTTGGAAGCTCGTGACACGTACGACAAGATGTACTCCCGTACAGCCTCGGATAGGTAGGGCTGGTCCAGCCGCTTCACGCGGAACGCCACGTCAATCAGGGCACACAGGAAGCCCTCGTACGACAGCACGGGAGCCGAAGTGTTGATGGCGTTGGGGTCCACCTTGGCATAGGCGCGGAACACCACCTCGCAGTCCCGAGGGTGCAGCATCTTGTGGGGCTGCGTGATGATGCTCACTCGCGAGTTGGATCTCGGATCCGACGTCTCCGTCTCCTTGCAGAAAAGCATCCACTGCTGGAACGCCAGCCCAGGCGGCCAATAGGCAGCAAAGTTGTTTTCGAGCTGCGCGTAGTACAGGAAGACGGCCCGCAGGTCGCCGTGGTAGTGGTTGAGGACCTTTTGTACGGCGTACGACTCGCCAAAGGGGTTGGTCTGTCCCACGAAGAGCTTCTGCACGCGGTCCAGCACCTCCTGCATGCCCGGCTCCATCTCGCCCTCGCGCAGGGTGGTGGCGTAGCGCTCCGCAATGTCAGAGAACTGCAGCAGCTGCCGCTTGAGGGCGGCCACCGCGGTGGACTCCTCCCTGCGGGTGAAGGGGAGGTTGGGAAGGAGCAAGCCGGGCTGGTTAAGAGGATGGCAATTGGTGGAGGAACAAGTTCAGGCAGTTATCAGGTATTGGGAGGGCTGCCTGGGTGCCCCCCGAGAATAGTGAGGGAGCGGCCAATTGCAGTCGTCCCAGGTTGACCACACGGCACCCCCTCTCTCTCGCCATGCTAGCACCTGCCCCCCTCCCACTTCTTCATTCCTCCTTCTCTCCCCTTCTCCCTCCCCGCCCCCATCACCCACTTGAGCCTCTCCGTGAGCCGCAGCACCTCCGCCTCCAGCTGCTCGTTGCGGTGCTTGCCGCTCACGTCGCGCTCGTGGCACTCCCGCAGCGCCGTCATCACAGTGCCGCGCTCGCCGTCCAGCGTGGACTGCAGCTGCTGGGTGCGCTGCTCCAGCTCCGTCACGCGAGCCTCGGACTCGGTGGCGCGCTGGGGAGGGGGGGTGGGAGGGAGGTAGGAGGGAGGGAGGGGCATGGGAAATGGGGTGAGAGGTGAGAGGTGGGAGTGAGAGGAGGCGGGAGGGGTCAAGGGAGCAGGATGGCTGGGGTACTACTATGGAGGCCCGGCTGTCCCATGTTGCCCACCGATGGCGTTGTGTTGTCTATGATCTCGCTTGCGCCCGATACCCACCCAACTTCCCTGCCCACTCCCCTCTGCACCCCGTGTTAACCCCATTACGTCTCCTCCCACCCCTCCCTCCTCCCTTCCTCCCTCCTCTCTCACCCTCCGCTGCTCCTCCGCATCCGCCCGCGCCGCACTGAGGTCCTGCCGCGCCACCATCAACGACGACTGCAGCTCCGAAACCCGCTGGTCGAATGCCGCCACCAGCAGCTCCTTCTCCCGCTCCAGCTGCCGTACCTTGGCAGCACTCGCCTCCGCTAGCTGGTGCTGCATCACCAGCTGGTCCCGCGCCGCCTCAAGATCCCTGGTCAGCTGCTGCATCATCAGCGGCGCGCCGCGAGTCCCCGCGTTCACGTGACCCGTGGCACCGCTGCCGCCAGCGCCGGCGGATGTGCCGGTAGCAGGGCGGGACCTGGAGGGAGAGGCGGTGCGGCTGTTGGCGCCGACCGAGGCCGCAGCGGCCGCGGCGGCGGCAGCGGCAATGGCCGCTGCAGAGGGCGACGCCGCTCTGTCCATGTGGCCTGTGGAGGAGATCACGCCGGGCTGCGGCCCCGGGACGAGGGCGTTGCTGCGGAGCGGGGAGGTGTTGGAGTTGCGGCCAAAGGCGACGGGGGAGGAGCCAGGGCGAGGTGGGCGGGCGCCGTTGTGGTGGCTGTTGTTGCCAATGACGGTGCGGTCTGTGGTGGTGAAGGCGGGCGTTGCGGTCAGCGCCGGCCTCGCGGATTGGATGCGGCCGACATGCGGGTGGTGCTGCTGCGGTGCGTGTCCGCTGCTGCTGAGGGAGTGCTGCAGCAGGTGGTGGCTGTGGTGCGGGTGGTGCTGCGGGTGCACCAGCAGCTGACTGGAGCTCAGGCTGCCAGAGAGGGGCCGGTAGCCGCTGCCGGGGGCGTTGGCGGGGGACCCGGCGCCCGCTGCTCGGGCTCCCGGAGACCCCAGCTGCGCATCATGTTGGTGGCTGGGCCAGGAGTTGCTGACGGAGACGTTGAGCCCGGCGGAGCGGCTGCCGCCGGGGAAGGCGGCGAGGGCAGACATGGTGCTCCCGGCACCCATGCCGGGCACCCCCGGCGGCCGTAGGAGCTCCGAAACTGGTGAGGAAGCGGCGCCGGGGTAGGCCGAGGTGGGCCGGCCAGTGCCGGAGGGCAGCAGCACCAGTCCAGAGCGGGTGGAGGGCGTCAGGGTTACCCCCGGCGGCGGAGGAGCGTAGATGGTGGTGGGCGGGGAGGCAGTTGTGGCGGTGGCGGAGGTACCGTTGGCGGCGCCTCCCGCTGCCGACCATGCAACTGCCGGCCCCATGTCGCCGCCGGGCTCCAAGCTAGGCGGCAACGGAGGCGGCGGTGGCGGCATCCCAAGGTCCCCCATGCCGCTGCCCCCGCCGCTAGCACCCCCGCCGCTACCGGCTCCGCCGTTGCCAGTGCCGCCGTTAGCCAGCGAGATGATGGAGTTGGCTGTGGCTGCGGGCCCCGTCTCCTCAACCTCCTGCGGCTCCTCCAGCAGGTTCGCCGCACTCAAACTGCCGCCGCCATTACCGCAGGCATTACTAGCCCATTCCGTACGCAGTACGGACAGCAGATATATCTTGCCGTACGCGTCCCGCACCCACTCCACCACAATGCCTGCTAGCGTCAGGCGATGCGCCTTCTCGATGTACTTCACCAGGTGGCTGGTGAGCTTGCGGAACTCCATTTTCAGGGAGGGGTCCACCGCACCCTGGCCCGTTACGGGATCCGGAACCTCGTCATGTGCCGCCGCCGCAGCGGCCGCGTACGACATGGTGGCATCGGCGGCAAGGCCCTCCGCGGCGCCCGGCGGCAACGGCAGCCCCTGCGCTACATACCGCCGGCTGTATTTGCGCTGGAAGGTGTGGCAGGTGACGTTGTTGGCGCCGCCGGCTACGTAGGTGGTTACGTAGCGCAGGTCGTTGTGGGGCTGTGGGAGATCGGGGGTGTGGCCAGGGTGGGCGTGTGGGGTCAGGCGGCAGCGAGGTATGTCGTGATGACGCCGCTAAGGACGTTTCCATTCCTGTACCCAAAGTAACCTCCATGCGTTAATACCTTAAAGTAATACACCCGGCGGATGGAAGTAACGCCCTAGTTCCCTACGCCACCCCGAATACCCGCAATCCTGCTCGGCAACCCGGTTCGCCGCCCACCCACCTGGATGAATGCTTGGAGCACCTGCGGGATTTCCATTTCTGGTGCTGCGCCGTCCCCTCCCGCCTCCAGCCTGTCCGATAGCAGCTCCGTGAGCTGGTTGAACGCCTGCAACCGCAGCAGCTGGGGCTGCCCATCGCCTGCAGACCCAACAAAGATTAGGACGCGTTGGTGGCAAAAAGCAAATTTGGGTTGGAAAGGGAGCCGCCGGTTCGAAGCACTGTGCAATCATATGTTGAGAGCTGACATGGAAGTTGCAAGGTTGCACCCGTAATGCGCTAATATATAACAGGGCGAAGCACACGAGTCTATACACGTATGACAAGCGCGTTGTGGAATTGCACATGGTGTGGGTACACCGTCTGCCTTTGGTTTTTGTTTCTGTTATGAAGCCTTGGAAACTCTCTCACCGGAAACCGTGCCCATTAATAGTTCTCACCTGATCGCACGATTGCGACGAATTTGCTATAGTTTGCTTCATCGCATTCAGCGACTTGGATAAAGCGCCGTCGAATAGCTTCTAACGAGGTGTTGTGGCTTGCGTGCCTTTGCACATAGCCCTCCTGTGCGAGTAATGCTAACGATAAGCCTCCAGCTCCATGTGCTAGAAACGGCCGATACAGTTGCAGGCCTCAGTTCATGGCGCACCTTATTAGTGGCCCACCACGCCGAAAGCTGTCCATAGCGGAAAAGAACTGTATCAGGGATATTAATCTTGCATTTGAACCCCTTATCCTGTACGGGCGACGAGAAAGCAGGGTTCAGCGCTGGTATCGACTGGGATGAGCATCGCTGAGCTGCACGTACGTTCCAGAATAAAGCAAAGAACGAGCACCAATCGAAGCCTCCGTCTGACACCATCCTAGTGATTTGAGCCCTCTACAAACATGCCGAACGGCCTATCGAAGTAAGGCAGAAATAGGCACTTCGAGCCCTCGGTTTAGTTCCTGCAGAGTAATATATTGAAGCGAAGTATAGAACACACATTGCGCTGACGGGGTTCTGCCGCGGCAAACGACGAAACACCACTTCGAGGATGCAGTACAGCGCTGTACGCCATGAGTCTTACTTACCTTGAGCAGGGGACAGAGAACCAGCAATTGCAGCACTCGTAGCATTCAGCGCAAACAATATAGCAAGGATAATGCGCCGCGCACATTTGGTCGTCCTATGAACGTGAGCTCATGCAAGCAGTGAACTGAGCCTTCCAAATGTTTGGGTCTCGCAATTTGCTACTTAAGAACCTGATATGGTAAGTGCGGCATGCAGCGCTGCGGCTCAAGGTTTACGCATGTGCCCATTCTGGCACATGCGGCCCTTTTGAAACATGACTTGCACTAATGCCTTTAACTGCTAACCGTTGGCATGAAGTTAAGGCTGGCGCATCCTGCACTCCACCTTCAGCGTCTCGCTCCAAACATAACCTTGCTGCTGCTGCGCCTCATCCTCCTGTTGCGAATCTTGCCATGCAAACCTTCGGCCGCAAAGTACAAAATACTCCCTCGTTTTGATATCGTGCCTTCCACATGCTTCCGTTTTGATATCGAGCGCCCCATATGCTTACAACATAACCAAGGGTCAGCAGCTTTGTGAACATCACTTTCGTACACGTCTCCCACGACTCCCAGCACGCTGACCTGGTCTCAGCACAAGCTGACCTCCAGCCACCCCAGTTTCGGTACTGCGGCCCCATCGCCCCTGCCCCCTTTCACCACCCGCAGCTACACGCCTGCACCCCTCCTCAGACACAACCTTGAAGTGCCCCCGTGTTAGCATTTCACTCACCAACCATATCAACAGCAACAGCGACGGCACGCACATCGAATACAAAGCCCGCGAATCAAGTTGTGTTGTTGATGCCCCATGTTGTGACGGGCAGTGAAGCCCTCCCTGCCACCTTAACACACCTTTCGGACCGCCCCCAGCATGCAGCCCTCCTTGCCGCACGCTCATATCCTGCTATTCTCACTTCTCACTGCCGTTGCCGCCCTCCTTCACCGCCACTGGTGTTCCTGGCCCCTCACCAGCACCACTCCCCGCCCCCGCCTTGCCGAAAAACGCCGTCATTTTGCGCTGCTTGGGCCCTCCCCCCGCACCGCTCTCCCCCGCCTCCCCACCCGCACCCGCATCCCTGCCTCGCCGCTTCTTAGCACTACCCCCACTTCCCCCGCTGCCGCTGCTGCCGCCACTCCTCGCCTCCACACCCTCCACACCCTCCGCCGCCGCCGTCGCACCCCCTCCCGCCGCCTCCTCCGCCTCCTCCGCCAGCACCCGCCCCACCGCCTCCGCCAGCTCCCCCACGTCCCCCGGCGGCGGCAGCCCAGCAGTGCCGTACGACACCTCCGGGGTGAAACCCAACACCTGCACCGCATGCGGGGGGGGGAGGGCAGCGGAGAGGCTCGCAACACATGCACACATGTGTGTTGCGTGTGCACACGAGTTGGGAGGCGTCCGTCCACATCCTCATGGGGAAAAAGCCGTACGAGCTGTTCTGTGGAGCGGATACACCTCAGTGAGGGTGACCGAGAAACACGGCAGGCAGGTCACCCATGCATATCACAACGGTACGGCGCCGCATAAAACGGACGAAGCACCCCCCTCGCTTCCCCCCGCTTCCCCCCCCACTTGCCAGCATCAGTTCCGCGAACTCCCCCGCCCCCAGCATGCCCCCGGTGGCCTCCGGGTGCCCGCGCGCGAAGTCGCCCCCCAGCCGCCCCGGCAGCCCCCCCAGCCGGCTGGGCGCCAGGGCGGAGTGGGCGCAGCGGCGGGCGGTGGTGTCGCGCAGGAAGGAGATGAGGTCGGCGTCGGGGCGGCCGCGGCGGGCGGAGAAGTGGACCTGACGGGGGGGGGAGGAAATAGTTCATTACAGTAACAAAGTGCGGCCACTGGAGTTGGGGGAGACGGGCAGGGGAGGAAGGACGGAAGCAGTGCATGCAGACAAGGGACGTGAGAGGCCGAGGGGCGGCACAGGTGGCAGGGGGGCGGGGCAGGTGGGTGGCGCTGCATGCGGTTGAAGGTACCGGTAGGGCAGATGGCCCTCTCAGCGGGCGATCTTCCCCCCGTCTCTTCAGGTTTTCACCCTCCCATGTCCCGGTAATGGTTCGGGCTAAAACACACACACGCACTCACCAGCTCTTCACCCACCCGTTGCCGCTGCTCCCTCCCTGGCGCCCCCCCTCCCTCGCCCCGCCCCTTCCCCCCCTTCCCCCCCGCCCCTTCCCCCCCTTCCCCCCCTTCCCCCTCTCCCCCCCCCCTCTCATCATATATATATATTTTTTACCCCCTACCCTGCCCGGCATGTATCCCCTGTTCGCCGCCATCACCGCCACCAGCCGCCCCCGCCGGTCCTGGGCGCTCAGCCGGGGGGCCCATCTGGCAGGGTGGGTGGGGGGGGGAGGAGGCAAGGCAGGAAGAGGATCAGGGAGAGCAGGTAGGCGAGGAGGAGGGGAGCTGAGGCAGGTCTGAGGCAGGCCGAAGGCAGGTCGAAGTCTGTGGGAACACCGCCACCGCAGCGCTTAGTGAGCCCTTTCACCGTCATGTGCTCTACCGTTTGCCTTCTCTGACCACACAATCCCTCCCACACCCCACACCTTCCCCCTGCACACATCCTTCAACGCCTGTCCTCCCCTCCCCACCTCTGCGGCAGCAGCGGGTGCACCTGCCAGCCGCTGTCCACCCCCACCACCGCCACCGCCCCGTCGCGGCTGAAGCGGGGCGGCGCGCCCCCCACCCGCGCCATCTCCCCTTTCAACTCCGCCCGGGCCGCGTGAAGCGACGCCAGCACGCCGGGGGGCATTGCCTCGGTGGGTATTGCTCCGGGGATGGGATTGCTGCTGCTGCTGCCGCCACGTTTTAGTTTGGGTGTGGCTGGGACAGGTGTGGTGGTGGCGGTGGTGGGGGGCAGGGGCTGCAGCGGGGGCTTGGCGATGTGTGCGGGGCAGGAGGCGGCGCAGAGGGCGGCCCAGGCAGCCGCCACGTCGCAGGTGGGGGAGCGGCGGACTTGCATGCATGCATGCATGACGGAGGGGGGTGGGAGTGGGGGAGGGAGGGAGGGAGGGAGGGAGGGAGAAGGCAGGTGGGGCGGTTGAGGGGGAGGGGACGTTGGAGCTGGCATGGGTGTATGCCGTTAGTGAAGCTGGCAAGGCGAAGCGCCATCCCCTCCTCCTCCCCCTCTCTTCCTCCTCCCCTCTGCCCGCCCTCCCCCCTGCCCCCTGCCCCCTCCCCACCTGCATTCAGCAGCGCCACTGCTTCCTTGAAGTTCCCCTTGCCCCCCGCACGCCAGGCCGCCCCCAGGCCCCCCGCCAGCGGCCCCTCCGCCAGCGCCCCCAGCCCGCCCTCGCCCAGGTCGCCCAGACAGCCCAACACGGCCAGCCAGGCAGTGGCGGAGGAGGCGGCGGAGGCGGTGGAGGCGGCGGAGGCGGAGGGTGGGGTGGAGGCGGAGGGCGGGGTGGAGGCGGAGGGCGGGATGGAGTCCAGCAGCTGGGAGGCCAGCAGCCAGGTGAGCAGCGAGGCGGGCACCACCGGGGGGCAGCCGAAGGCGGATACGGCCTTGGGGAGGGGGGGAAAGAGGGGGAGAAAGGGGGAGGCAGTGCATGGGGCTGTGAGAGTTGGGTTGTGCGAGTGTGAGGGGCAGCGCGTGAGGGGGAGAGGGGCGGGCCGGTACGGGTCGTGGTGGAGGTGCGCGGAGGGGTCTTACAGCCCACATCGCCCACCTCCGCAGCACCAACACCCGGCTCCACTGCGAAAGTGTAAAGTGTGGCCCGCACCTGCATGCGAGCACTTGCTCCTCCTCCCCTCCTCCCGCCCCCGTCCCCCCCCCCCCTCACCACCGCCCCCTCCGGGAAGCCCTCGGGCTGGTGGTGGTCGATCACTAGCACCGGAACCGGCACCGCGGGCTGCTCCGCGGCCCACTCGGGCACTCCATGATGTTCTCCGCCCTCCTCGCCGCCTGCTTTCGCCGCCGGCACCAGCTGCGCATCAGCTCCGGTTCCCCTTGCCTGCTCCCCCCTTTCCACTATCAGCCCCTCCTGTCCAGCCACCTCCCCTTCCGTCCCCTCCCCACCGCAGTAGCTGCCCCCCGGCCCCCCTCCCCCCCGCCCCCCCAGCAGCGGCCCGCCCCCCCGACTACCCATGTCCAGCAGCACCAGTGCGGTGGGGCGGGCGGCGGCCAGGCGCGCCCGCACCGCCGGCTGCCACACGTTCTCTCCCTTGCTGATATGAACCACGGAGAGGTCAACTTCTGAAGGGCGAGGGTGGGGGGGGGAGGGGGACGGGAGGAGGAGGAGGATTGCAAGGAGGAAGGGGGGATGGCTGGATGTGCTGTGAGCAGTGATGTGGCCGAGTTGGTTGCTTGAGGACCGGGAGGAGGAGGGAAGAACGCCCAGATGGAGACCTGCGTGGAGTTTGAATCCACCCGTGCCTCCTGCGAAACCCACCTCCACCCCCCCCCAACCAGTATCCCCCCACCTGCTGCCGCCGCTGCCGCCGCCCCGCCCCGCTCCTCCGCCTGCCCCAGCAGCGCCCTCAGGGTGCGGAGCAGGATGGCACCCGCACTCAGACCGTCCACATCCTTGTCGGGCACAATCACAATGCGCCGCCGTTGCCTCCCGGTTGGCATCTGGTGCTGCTGTTGCCGGTCATCGGTATGCTCACCAGTGAAACCGCTGATGTTTGCTGCAGCTGCCGTACCCGAGGTATGCGCCTCTGACCCATGGGTCGCCGGTGCTGCAGCCGGCTGCTCCTGCTGCTGCTGGTGTTGTGGCTGCTGGTGCAAGGGGGGCTGCGCAGGAGGAGGGGCGCCGCTGGGTCCCCACAGGGCTCGGCGCAGGAAGTCCACCCCGGCTTCCATGGCGGCCCGGGGCGCGGGCCAGTCGGGGCCGTACAACCGGCGAGCTGAAGCCAGATCTGCGGCCCCCGGGTTGGCTGCGGCTGCTGGGTTGGGATTGGGCTGCAGTTGGGGCTGTGTGGCGGACTTATTTTGGGTGGCTTTACT